AAAAAATTGGAGCAGTATGCAGCATTCCCAACAGCTGATCACACCATGACTCACTCATTACACAGACGTATCTCAGTGACTGCATTCCTGACCTCCTTTGGGAAATAAGAAAGCATTTCAGACAAGAGATTTTCCCCTTTAGAAAAAGAAGTGCCCTACAGCTATTCCAGAGCTGCTGGTCGATCAGCATCAACATCAGCAATCGGATGTGTTTGGTGCACAGTAGACCTAGTGAAAGTTAAATTAAAAAAATATATTTAAAAAATAAAACCACAAGGACTTCCGTGTTTTGATCTGTTCCTGTCCCAGCAGAAAGCCAGATTCAAATCCACGGTACCAGCATTACATCTTCATCTCCTGAGCTTATCTTTAGGAATTCTTGCCATCCAGTGCTGCTTCCATAACTCAGCCTGAACACACACTCATGTATCAGAATCTCTGCTGCTTCACTTGACATTTAGAGAGGACTCACAAGAAAGATCACACTCCTGGAACATGTCAAAATCCCTGTAAAAACTCACCTTTGTGAGAAAAGCTTTAGTCATATTATGAAGAAAGGAGAACAAAACAAGATACCACTCACTTGCCATGAACAGAAGGCAGTATACATTTTCTGTGTTTTCCATACACTGTACATTTGTACAAACAAACATTCGCACACTGCATGTTTTCCACCACCTCTGAGGTTATGTTGGTCCGACAGCTTCCAGAGAAATGTAGGTACGAAAGGCTAGCAAGGGTTTTCTAGAGATGCGACTCTTTGGCCCTTTTTATACAGTCCTTACATCAAACTGTGATTCACCCACAGAAGTATGTGGTAATAAAGGCGAAGCTGCCAGGAGATGCTTATGCCACACATTCACTGCTTGATTACTAAATAAATTCCCTGTAGTCACCAGTCACTGCAAGTTTCAGAACTAGTTATTCCACTCCTCAGAGGAAGTTATATTCTCTAAAATGGATTGTTATCTACAACATGACTTTTGAACTGTTCCCACCATTCTTATGGGAATAAACCCAGCCTATTATAAATTCAGAGTCAGTGGATTCAATTCCCTGTCAAATGCATATAGCCTGGATACAGTGATTAAGACATGAGGGACTGCATTTTTTTAGTGTTATGATAACTCCAAAGCTCATCTGGAAACTCCTACTTGTTCTCCTCTGATGGATATTAATGAGGACTTTTGCCTTTGATTCATTCTGAGAAATGTCCCACAGGAATTTATTCAAAATATTTCACATAGTTTGCAAAAATCCCATTAACTCCTCTTAACAGTGCAGAAGGCAACATAAGATGGAAAAAAACCTCCTAAGCGCAAAAAGCAGAGGGCTTATGGCAAGTATGGGGCCACACAAACTGTAACTATTCCCATGTCCTTCAAAAGAAAGGAGAGTGGAAACCCACCTCTTCACTATCAGATACACTCGACAAGTTCACTGGAACAATTCCTCGTGCAGTTGGCACAGCTGTCTATATGCTAATGCAACTGGACCAAGCCAAACTTATGTAACTTACACCAGCTCCAGAGTGCAAAGCAGATGCTATCACATCCCAAAGCATAAGGTTTACCAATTCCAGAGGCAAACTGTGTAAAAAAAAGCTCATTTAAAACATCTGTAAAGTCTCCAAACCTGAAATCCCTATCAAAGCTACCTACAGAACCAGAGGAGGGGAATTCTGCTTTGTCTTTCCCCTGTCTTCACCTCCCCCACCTACTAAAGCTCCTTAACTAAATCATTCCAGATCTTTTTTTCTCAAACCTGGATTTCTGTTTGGTACTCAGAGACTGTCTGAGCTTGAATGAGAAATGAAACATGTCCAAGAACACTGAAGATGTGGAACAAAATGCTTTCATTCTCTGATCTAACGAAGATTAGATCAAGACAACACGATCTACTCCTTATCCGCAGGATCAAGAGTCACAAGATCGCACAAAGTAGAATGTCAGGCACAGACATAAGCAAGTGTATCAGAAAAACATGGCTACAAAATATCACGGCAAATATCTAGAACAAACCATTCTTCCGACGCACGCCAACGAGGGCAGCAGCACACACTTCACATGGCTTTGGGCACCTCGATTTACTAAAAAACAGTTTAAATCATGGTCACCTCGACTTATCTGACTGTACTCCCACTCCAATCCCACTGAAATGAATGTCCTGACGACTTCAGAGGACTCTGGGCCAGGCTAAACAGCCGGTGAAAACTATCGGTGCCCAGGCGGGTTGGCCTGGAAGCCTCACAGACCCAGAGCCCGGCACGCTGCCCGTCGAAGGGGCGGCAGGTAAAGCCTAACCCTCCCTGCCTCCCCACAAGGGCACACAAACGGCCCTCTCCGAGCGGCCAGGAGCGCTGCCGCCCACCCGCTG